TTAAGTAGTATGAACAAAAAATACTAACATTTTCAAATGTAAACGCTAACTGGTTCACAGACAACCAAGCATACAAACAAACAAAAAAACAAACTTAAACAAGCAAAACAAAAAACTTCATATACAACAACAAACATACAAATGAGTTTTTTCTTGTATGTATGATAGAGGATAACATACCTGACAGATGTTTAAAAAACCATTAACAATAAATGCTCAATTATTTCCTGAGCGCTTTTGTCTGTTTGGCTGTCTATATGTGGGTTTGATTGTTTGTTTGTTTGTATGTTTTTTGAATGCTTGTATGTGGGTCATCATCATCATTGTCGTCAACAACAACATCATCATCGTCACCTACAACATCATCATCATCATCGTCTGATTGATTTTACGCACTTTGGAAAAGCTGACAGGATTCACTCAAGTCACATCTTCATCATCAGCACTGTAATCATCATCGTCGTCGTCATCATCATCATTATCGTTTTAATCATCTTCATTGCATTAAAATTCACGGACCTGCTGTTTTTTTTTACACTGTTTAATTTTTTCCAAATAATCATTTAAACTAATAACGTTGTCCCATTAAAGTTGTCATCTTAATTAATCCTCATCATCACCCTCGTCGCCACCACATCATTAATTCTATCATCATCATCATCATCGTCACACCATCATCATCATCATCGTCACACCATCACCATCATCATCATCATCATCGTCACACCATCATCATTATCATCGTCACACCATCACCATCATCATCATCATCATCGTCACACCATCTTCATCATCATCATCGTCACACCATCTTCATCATCATCATCGTCACACCATCACCATCATCATCATCGTCGTCATCGTCACACCATCATCATCATCATCATCGTCACACCATCATCATTATCATCTTCGTCGTCATCGTCATCGCGGTTGTCACATGAAGCCCTGAGGGTAGTAGAGTATGAAGTTAAATTTAGATACAAGCGCATAATGAATGCATGTTGCAGTTGTTTGTACATTTGCTTGTATGTGTTGTATGTATTGTATACAAATACAATTGTATATTCATGCATATACAATTAACATAACACACAAGTACGTAAACATACATATATTCACCGACACCTAAACTTACATACACAGACATATACAGGCATACAGACGAACATACACACATAAAAACAAACATACATGCACACAACACACAGAAGCCCACACATACATACATACAAACACACACACACACACACAGAGAGAAAGAGAGAGAGACCACAAACATACACAACACATACAAATGTCATGATGTATACACGTGATTGTATGTACAGATGCGTGTAATTTGCTGTCTGTCATTGCTCACTCTGACGTCACAATGATGATAATGACGGCGATGGCGATCGTGATTATTATGGTAACGTTTAGGAAGACGGCTATGATGACGTCACGCTGGTTAAATCCCAAATAATGACCAATGTAACCATCGTCGTCATCATCATTGTAGAGTTAAAACCTTGAATGAAGGTAACGATTATAAATGTACTAAATAGGCAAGGGTGGCTCGCAAAATTTTAGAAGGAAAGGACAGAGGAGTAGGGAGTAGTCAATTTTTTTGGGGGGGGGGGGTAATTTTGAAAAATTCCTTACATTTCCATCCTTAGTAGCGTTTTGTGATATTTATACTGGACATGAAGATCCTACGACTGTAAACTGTACGGTAGATCTTATTTAGCATGAAAAGTAGTTTTAGAAATAGTTGTAGTAGTACTAGTAATAGCAGTGTTAGTAGTAACAGCAGCAGCAGCAGCAGCAGCAGCAGCAGCAGCAGCAGCAGTAGTAGTTAGTGGTAGTAAGGAGTACAGCGGAAGTAGCGGTAGTTAATAAAAATATTTGTTGTAGGAATTTTGTTGTTCTAGTAAAAGTATAAGCTGACGTTAATAGCAAATGTATGGGAAGAAATATGTTGAAGTAGTTGTAGTAACTGCTGAGGTAGTAGTAAAAGTAGTAGCTGTTAAGGTAGTAGCAGTAACAATATCAGCAGCAGCAGTTGTTGTCGATGAAGTAGTAGTAGTCGCGACATTAGTATGAGAAAATATTTTTAATATAAAATCAGTACAGTAGTTTTATTGAAAGCAGCTAAAATAACTATAGAATTTCATTAGAGAAAGAGAGAGAAAAGAGAGAGAGAGAGAGAGAGAGAGAGAGAGAGAGAGAGAGAGAGAGAGAGGGAAAGAGAGGACAAAAGAGCTATTTGACCCAATAAGAATGTTTATAAATATCAATAGTCGTAAATAAATTGTAATTCTTTATCCATATTTTTTAAAATTTATATTCAATGCTTCCTAATTAATAACATAATTACCTATAAATTTTTGTTAAGTTATAGATAAATACCTTTATATATATATAACACATAGTAGTTGGCCGAGTGGTTAGCGTGTCTGTCTACCACACCCACGACCCGGGTTCGAATTCTGCAGTTTCTACAGGTTCATCCGGGTAGCCGACTCCCGGTCAACCCAGCCGTCCATCCTTTCGAGGCTGGTAAGTGAGTAGACGACGTAAGTTGTCGTATGTTGGCCGGCGAGGTGGCTCAGTGGTTCAAATGCGCGCTGAGTCAAACATCTCAATGGCTATCATATACTCAGCGTATATGATGCGGTGCTTGCGCGTGCACATAAAATACATGTGTACGTCGTGTGAAAAGGATTAACAGCCTTTGTGGCGAAAGATGGCAGCTTCATATCATTGGTTGAAGATATGAAGAACATAATCTATATATGCAACATTGTAAGTGGTTCTGCGTATGTCAGAGCTGCAATAATAAAGACTAATGAAAAAAAAAAAGGTACTCCCCTCTCTGTTGTTATTTTCAACGCAAATTCAGCAGCGTTATAGCATTTATCTGCTCGTGTAATTCAATACGCATTAAAAATAATATGAACACACACACACCACACACACACACGTACAGACAAATATCTAAACACACAATCACCCATACGTACATATAAAATACCTAAACATACACACACAGACGTATATAGAAACACATGAATACACACACACACACACAAACATACTCACACAGTGTTACACACATCAGCAAAACACGCACACGAATACATCTACACATATGAAATCATGTATACATACAATAATTTTTACATACACACCTATAGTGAAATGATGATTGTTGTTAAAAGATGTCGATAATAACGAAATAGTGATAATAATAACGATGAAAAATAAAATAATTATCAAAGCATGAGAGTTACTCACTGAACATTAACCACAACAACTACATCGACAACAATAACTACTACTACTACAACAATAACTACTACTACTACAACAACGCTATCTTAACTATTAACAATGAAAACAACATTAACAACAACTATAAAATCTAATGATGATGATGAAGAGGATGATGAAGATGATGATGGTCTGATAGCAGCAAGCACACGTGTTTCAATCCGATACTTCAGATCACAGAGAAGTTTCAAACAAATACAATCTTTATACTGTGAAGATATTATTTTACATATTAATTCGTTTTCGATAATAAAAATAATATAAATATATAAAAACTCCCAACATATTCAACTATATAACAATTACAACAGCAACAGTTTGTCTGTATCATACCACTGAGTTGTAAAAACCTCACTCAAAAAATTAACAAAAACCCATTATAATATATAATAATATTATTATAATATAATATATATTATAATATAATACATTATAATATAATATATCATAATATGACCATAAGCAATGAAATAACACATAGAATTTTCCAAAATTGAATAACATTATTGTGAATTTAACTGGAAAAATTCATACAATAGTTATATAATGAGTTATTTATTCATTAGTAATTTATTATTAGTTATTATTATTATTTATTATTTATTAGTTATTTATTCATTAGTTAGTTAGTTATTTATTCATGGACGGAGGCGTTGTTTCCAGGGCAATTGGCTTTCAAATCGTCGGTACCTACGAAAAGAATTTAAATAAAAAAATAAACCATAATTTGATAATAAAAATATAATAACCTGTAATAATAACGATACCAATAGCTTATTATTATTATTTTTTTTATATCATTATTATTATTATTAAAATATGGACAAACCGCTGTACTCTCTTCCACACCAGACACAGTAGTGATGTGTTAGCCTTAGGTATTCTGTTATCATTTCAAGCTTTTCCGTTGGCTGGCCGGGTCAAGAAATTATTTGAAATTATCCCCATTAATAGAAATAATATAAGGAATAATAAAAATAATAACAGAAAAAAGATTTAATATAATTAATATTTTAATTATTATTTTATAAATTATTCATATAGTTTGAGATTGTGAAAGCAAGAACAGGCATTCATGATATATGATCTATTCTTCATTATAGTAAAATAAATATACTATCAATACTGCAAAAATTACTAATCTATCATCATTTTACTATCGATTTATTATTATTATTTTATTATTTTCACTAATTACAAAACTTCATCAAAGTCTGTTGATGACCATAAAATTTTCCGTGAGAAGAACACCTATGCAAGACGTCAAGTTGCACTGGCTCGGACAGATCAGTGCAGAGAGTGGCTCACTAAAAGCAAAGGTGAACAAATGAAATCTCTGTATCGTATAGCAAAACAATCAAAGCGTACGAAAAAAGACATAGTTGGTGCCTCATGTATAAAAAATGACAAAAATGAGATGGTTCTTGAACGAGATGAGATCAAGCTACAGTGGAGAGAATACTTCAACCGTCTGTTAAACGAAACAAATCCAATCAATGTTAATTTTGACGCTCCACCCATCGAAGGTCCGATTCCAGACATCACTGTAGAGGAGCTTATGGAAGCGCTGAAAGCTATGAAAGATGGAAAGGCAGCAGGGCCCTCTGGACTCACAAATGACATTATCAAAGCATCTGGTACTGCAGGTATCCAAACGTTAATACAACTTTGCCGTGAAATCTGGAGAAATTGCTCAATGCCGACTGAATGGAACTATAGCATGACAGTTCCTCTATACAAAGGCAAAGGTGATCCATTGAACTGTTCATCATATCGGGGTATACGTCTGTTAGAACACTCCCTGAAAATTGTCGAGAAAATCATTGAGAGAAGATTAACGTCGTGCATCACAATCGGAAATTATCAATTTGGTTTTCTAGCGGGAAAATCAACAATTGATGCAATTCACATCCTTCGGCAACTGCAAGAGAAGTACCTCGCAAAGCATCAACAACTATCACACATTTTTGTAGACCTTGAAAAAGCATTTGATCGGGTTCCCCGTGAAGCAATCAGGTGGAGTCTACGTCGACAACTCATTCCAGAATATCTTGTTCGACTTGTGATGGAAATGTATACGAATACTAAGACTCTTGTCAGCACAACGGTTGGAAACACAGATGCATTTGACATCGGCGTTGGAGTTCACCAAGGCTCGATTCTCAGTCCAATATTATTTATAACTGTGATGGAAGAAATCACAAAACCGATACACACTGGTGACATTTGGAATCTAGTATATGCTGATGATATCGTTTTAACAGCCACGTCTGAGCAGAATGTTTGAAGATTGGAACACCAGACTCGCCGATCATGGATTCAAAGTCAACATCAGCAAAACCAAAGCAATGAACACTGGTGAACCCATCCAATCCACAGCTACTGGACGATGGCCCTGTTCAGTTTGTAAAGCTGGTGTAGGTAACAATTCAATCAAGTGTCAGCAGTGTAACCAGTGGTGTCACAAACGTTGTTCAAAAATAATTGTTTCTTTATCTAAAGTGTCCAATTTTGTTTGTCCTGCTTGCATCAATCGACAACAACAAATTCGAAATAGCACTGTTTTTGAAGCCATTAAAATAGAGAAAGTCACATCGTTTCAATATCTAGGGGATGTTCTGGATTGTACTGGAACAGCTGAAGCTGCCGTTCGAGCACGCATACGTGCAGCCTGGAATAAATGGCATCTCCTTGCCTCTATATTGATGCGGCGTGACATCCCACTACCACTACGATCAAGACTTTATAAATCTGTGATACGTCCGGTGTTGTTATATGGTGCAGAAACATGGCCAATGACAACCAAACTGGAACAACAACTTCAACGAACCGACATGAAAATGCTCCGATGGATGCAACGAATTAGTCTGAAGGACCACATCAAATCTACCGAAATCCTGCGTCGTTCTGGTTTAGATGATATAAAGGACGAATGCCGGCAACACCGTCTGCGGTGGTTTGGTCATGTCAAACGAAGTGGAAACAGTGCCATAACTTCTCTTGCAGATGTTGAAATACCTGGCACACGTCCCAAAGGCCGTCCAAAGAAGTCCTGGCGCAAACAATCGAGCAAGACATGAAAGCTCTAAATTTAAATGAAATGGATACAACTGATCGTCTAATTTGGCGCAAAAAGTTGATGGCAAAGAAAACAACGTCCTACCTCGGGAAACCGGGTCTCTGAACGCAAAACGAAGATTGATTGATTGATTGAATAACAAAACTAATACTCACTAATAGAGCATTATCATCATCATCTTTACAATACTCATTGTCATCGTCATCATTATTTAGACTCTCAACACGATCATCATCACCATTATTATTATTATGATCGTCATCGGCATCATAATCATAACCACCATCACCAGTGGTATCATAATCATCATCATCTGGAGGATGGTTTGCTGCTGATGCTGCAGCTGGTAAGAGATTTTCAGGCCAGAAGAATGTTCTTTGTGGAATATTTATGGACTGAAATTTAAAATTAAAATCAGAAAATAAATTAAATTATTAATAATAGTTAAAAACTGTAAACAGATTTTTAACAGTTCAAAAGGTTAAATGTCATTTTTACTTTCTACATTTGATTCGGAGGTGTTGAAAGCTACAGATCACATACAGAGCATATGATGAGCAGGAATCTTTCTGCATTTGTGCCTGGTCACTTGAGAACAAGACCAAGCAACTTTAACCATTAGGCCATCAGGTAATGCAGCAATAAAAAAATTATATACAATATCAACAATGATAATGACATACACTATTTTTATCTAATCGTTCACACACAGATTGACTCCTCCTCAAATCCCTGTTTATTTCTTTATCATTCCATCTTTCCCTCATTCTGTTTCTCCACTGACTTTCAAGTTTCATCCTTTTAAGTTGATCCTCTTGTTCTCGATGACTTGACGACTTTTGTTTTCTTTTGTTGTCTGCATGTCCTAACCCTTTCCTGTCTAATTTTATGTTCAGAGGGACTGGCTCTTTGATGCCATTTTCTGTGGAAACATTTTATGACGTTTAAAAAAGTTGTTTTTTATTCATACATAATTTTAATTTCACAGAGAGAATAAAACAAATTCTGATTAAAACAAGAAATACAAACATGCAAATAGTTGTTTGATGTTCACCTGATTTTCCAATACCCCTATCTTGTTTGTAGCCCATTTTTTCAAGTAACTGAAAACCGATGTTTGACTTTGGGATGGCACTCTGAAGACCTTCCTCTCGCTTCTCTTGCTGAATGACATTCAGTGGTTTGTGTCGTTCCTTGTTCAGTGAATTCATTAATTTTGAATTCCGCTCGTTTTTGTTAAGTTTGGCAACACTGGCTGAGGTTAGACCAGGCCTGACATCTGTACTTTTGAATTAAATTAGTAAGTTAGTACAACTACTAGTACGCAACAACGACCAAATTTCTTTACTAGTTTACTCTTTCCTTTCTTTAGTTTTGTTTTAGTAATTGGTATTGTAATTTATAAAAAAAATACATAAAAAAATAAAATGTTACGTTTTGTCAATGAAATAATCTGACATGTAGTCCTCCTCGTCTTCGTCCCCAACACCATTATTAATGCATGCCCGGTTTTTGCTTGAATTGTTCGCAGCCATCATCAGCTGTTTTTGTAGTTTAGGAAATTTGGAACTAAACTTTACTTTTAAGCATTCAATATCAAAAAGAATTTATTAAACTTTTTAAATAAAATATAGTTAAAATATTGAATTCTGTAATTAGTAACATTTATTACCAATATTTTGTAAAAAAAACAAATTGAAAAATTTTTTATAATTAAAAATAACAAAGTATTTTAAAACACGAATTTATATTAACTTATCCATGTTAGGTTACCATTGAAAAAATTCCGTAGAAACAGTTTAGAGGTGTGTCCTTTCTCGAATCATCCATTCAAAATGATGGTCAAATTTGCTTAAATTTGCCAACATCTGATCATTTTTTACATCTAATTTGTATTATTTCATCGTTTTGTGATAGTTGTGTTGAAGGTCAAGCTCTTAAATTTGCAAAAAATACGTTTGAATACAATTTTTCTGCAGACGGGTACAGGAAGATAAGCTGTATAGCAAATATATATACTATAGTCAGATCAAGCAATCATCACAAATATGTCATCATCATCATCTTCAAATCAGGAGTTTGATTTGACGATGGAGGAATGTGAAAGGTTAAAGAAGGCATTCAAAGATGAAGAGTTCAGAAAAATGTTTGCAGAGTATGCTGAAGAGATTGCAAATCCTGAGAATAAGGCTATTTACGAGGAAGAGATACGTCAGATGGAGCAGGAAAGAGGAATGGATATAAAATTTGTTAATCCGGAACCAGGTCATGTCCTCAAAACTGTTCTCAATGGGTCCACCAAAGCGTTCATCAACATCTGCAAAAATGTCCATGTTGGCATTCCCTCTCATGAGAAGAAAGATGTATATGGGAAATGTGGTGTATCATGGTCCATACCACACATCTTTGCGCCACCTAGAGATGACTTGACGAAAACAAAACAAAATTGCAAGATTTTCGATTTTGTCATTCATCCAGACACATACAGGATGTCTGAAACTAACCAAAGATTCAGGCAGATGGTGCATGATCTGGCAGTGGATGGCATTGAAAAGATGTTCAATGTAACCCTTGATAGGAAGAATTTGAAACAGTTAAAAATGAAGTTTATGGGCCACAAGACGGCCACTGTCATCAGGAATAAAATTGCAGATGCCAAGGTTAAAAAACAGGATGATGAAAATGATGGTGAAGACCCATTGAGTAGCTTTCCATACCCATACAGTAATGAAACTTCTTCTGAAAGAACACAGAGAATAGTTAAGGAGAACTTGATGAAAACAGAAAACAAAAACAAGGGAGGGAGTAATAAAAATAATTGTAATAACAATGCTGACCAGAAGGCAAAAAATGAAAATAATGAAAATGCAACTACAAGTAAAGATGGTGTAGTCAACGATGGCTTCACAATTCCTAAGTATGAAATGAAACATCAATCGGATGTTGATTTAAAAAATTATGCAAATGAAATGTCTCGAGTTTGTACCTTGAGTACCAGGCCAGACAAACTGATCATGAGCGTTAAGCTCCCACTTCTAAGCTCAGCTGCCAGCTTAGAACTTGATGTTTTTGAAAAATCCATGAAACTAATTTCTACAAAGCCAGCTAAATACAAACTCGAAATTTCTCTCCCATACCCTGTCGATGAAAATTTAAGTTCTGCCAAGTTTGATAAACTGAAGCATGAGCTGATGATAACAATGCCTGTTATACAGGCGAGTGAAACATTGGTGAGTTTTTCACCATCTTCTTCTTCTTCAGTGGAGGAGAATAGTAAAACTAATCAACAAAATTTAACCGGTGATACTTGCAGTGATGAATCTTGTGATAGTAAAAAGATATCTAACTATAGTAATAGCAACAATACTAAGGCTAGTAGTAATGATACTGTTGGAGATAGAAATGCTAGTAGGAGTGATGTTCAAACTTGTGACAGCAGTAGTAATAGTAGCAGTAAGGTTACATCTGTACATAGTGCAGTTGATGTTAAAACATCTAATTATAATAATGCCATGGTGACAAATATTAATGTTAATAATGACAACGGTGACAAATATCATTATAAGAACGTTCATGGTGGTCAGGGTAATGACGAGGAAGATGAAGGTGATGAGGAGGAGGAAGAGGAAGTTGATGAGGAGAGTATAAAATCTGATCCAACTAGCTTTAATGATTCAGAGGTTTTTTTTATAATTGTTATTTTAATGTTTATCTTTTAAAAATTTCGAAAATTCTAACAGCAATTAAAATCAATAAAGTTTTAAAGTTACATTTTCACATTCATTTTATTAATGCTGCTTATTATTTGATATTCAATGAAACAACAGAAACTGAACGACGGTGAAGCGGCCACAGAAGCGACGAAACGCGGCACATTCAAGAAGGAAAATTACTCAAAGAACAAGCACCGCCTCTTCAAAAATGACGCCGACGACGGTGATGAGGACAACGACGATTACGGCAAACCTGCAAACATCATGGTGGTCCATGATAAGGAGTGCCCCAAACTTCAAGGCATCCTCAAGTCGAGAACACCATCTGAATCGAGTGCCGATGAAAACGTATTTGTCAGTAAAATCAGTAGCAGCAATGAAGGTAGAGATGATGATGAGGAGGACGATAATAACAATAGTAACAGTGGTCTAACTTCACTGCCGCACGACAATGACAACAAAAATGACAACAACACCGTCCCGAACGATAGCAACAAAACTCCAAGGAACAGTGACAAAAAATCAGTGAAATTCAACGAGCACATAGACAGAACGATCTACCTGATCAATCAGAGTGTCAGCACCCTGCACGCTACCCTCAAAAACAAAAGAAAGAGATTGAAGAAGAGAGAGCAGAGAAGGATAGAGGCCATGAAAACGAAAGAAGAGATGATGATGAGAAGGAAGAGGACGTCTAGTGGCGGATCAGTGTCTCTCGATAGTAACAGTGGTAGTGAAGATCATCATCACGATCCTCCTCTTCATCCTCATCATCCTCGTCATCACCATCTACATCAACATCATCATGATAATTTGAACTGTGATAATAATAACATTAATGATAAAAGATGTTTGGATGGTGTATCAAAAATACTGGATATCAATCAGGGTATTGTTAATGTCAGAGAAAACTTGAATGATGCACATAATGGCAATGGTAATAAAAGTCACAACAAGTTGGTTCAAAATGACAACAACATTAACGATGGCAAGACAAATAATGGTGATAGTAACTCCAACAACAACAATAATGATAATATTAAAAGTAATGGTCTGATTGGTGCACTTGTGCACCAATCAGACCCACGCGCTCCTCATCATCACTATCATCACAACCATCATCATTCTCATCTTCATCATCCTTATCATCAACAATATCATCATGCTAATCACCACAATCTTCAAAATCATAATGTTGATGATGCAGATGATGACAGAAGTTTCACCAAACATCATCATTCTAGTGAGAAAAGGATGAAAAAGCATCAAAAACAAAGACATCAGCAGCAACAACAACATCAGCAGCTGCAGCTGCAGCAACATAAAATTGAGGTTGATGTGACGAAATTAATTCCTTCATCATCATCAGTTATATCTTCTACATCGAACTCGTCATCATCTTTATCACCATCGTCACCATCTCCACCACCACCACCATTATCATCATTTTCATCATCACTGTCAGAACCAAAATTAGAGGAGCAGCACTGCAACGATTCCGTGTTTGATGATTTTCACAATGATAATGATGTTAACAATGATAGCCTGAAACCTAAAGCCGTTGATAAGAGTGATAAAGATGATAATAAACAAAGTAATGTCGATGATAGTGGTAGTAATAATGGTAATGATTGTGATACTAAAGCTAGCAAGGCTTTTCTTACTACTGCTACTACTACTGCTACCACTACGACTACGACTACTACTACCACTACTACTACTACTAATAATAATAATATTGATAGCAATAATGATAATGATGGCAACAACATTGACAGCAGTCATAGTAAGAAGAAGTTAATAGAACTTATGTCGTCATCATCTACGTCATCATCATCAGGCATTGGATCGTCGTTGTCGTCATCATCGTCTCCGACAACATCACCATTATCACATCTGCCGCCGTCATCATTTTCACCATCAGACGCTCTGGAAAAACCTGATACCATTTTAAGTTGGACAGATGCTGATGATTGTGCCAGCCAAAGAAATGTAATATGTCCTATTGATTTTAACAATGGTCATATCTTTGCACTCGATCTTGACTGATCGATTGATTGATTGATTGATTGATTGATTGATTGATTGATTGATTGATTGATTGATTGATTGATTGATTGATTGATTGATTGATTGATTGATTGATTGATTGATTGATTGATTGATTGATTGATTGATTGATTGATTGATTGATTGATTGATTGATTGATTGATTGATTGATTGATTGATTGATTGATTGATTGATTGATTGATTGATTGATTGATTGATTGATTGATTGATTGATTGATTGATTGATTGATTGATTGATTGATTGATTGATTGATTGATTGATTGATTGATTGATTGATTGATTGATTGATTGATTGATTGATTGATTGATTGATTGATTGATTGATTGATTGATTGATTGATTGATTGATTGATTGATTGATTGATAAGATGATCTCTTATCATCATCATCATTGTTGTTGTTGTCATTAGCATTAATGTGATTGTAGTATCATATTACAGCATGCCTAACATTCATCACCTTGATTGCATTTTACTTGATGACTCAAATCATTAAATACACACACACAAACACAAACAAACACATACGTTCACACACATATACACTTCGTATTTATACCATTGCTACTTGCATTTTATACCAATACTCTTAATGCTTCGATTGAATTAGTAATAGAAATCGCGGTGATAGTACTTTTTTAGTGTCAAGTAGTGTTGGTAGTTATTTGTTTCATGTTATTGGCAATTTCGTTAGTTGGATGAGTTTTTTGTGCGTGTGTATGTACGTGTGCCTTTGTATGCGTGTGCATGTGTGTGTGTGTGTTTGATTTGTTTTTCTTTTGTAGATTCCATTTTATACGTCCTGGCATGACAACATTGTTAAGACATTGTTACACATTGTTAAGACCATGAACAATCAATTTAGGCATTTTTTTTTAAATTTTTATTTTTGTTAATTTTCGTTTATAGTTTTTCAAATTAATTAATAACTTTCAATGTACTTGTTGCTATTAATTTTGTTTTGTTCTAGTTTTGGCCACAGCTATGTCTATATCGTTATTTTAATGTCTGGATATATAAATTTATTACAGTGTAAGACTTGGCATATTCATTCATTTGTCAGTACTTTTTTTCATTCATTCACTCATTATTCGTTCATTCATTCATTCATGAACTCAATTGCTCTCTTCGTTCGTTCGTTTTATAAAAAAAAGGTTCGTTATTTTCTTTTCTTCATTTCATCACAATCTTTTCAAATTTCATGGTTGATTGATTGGTTGATCGATTTGATTGATTGGTTGACTGATTGATTGATTAATTGGTTGACTGATTGATTGATTAATTGGTTGACTGATTGATTGATTGGTATATAAGCGTATTTTAGTATAACTATATTTTGTTATGCCGATATTTCAGATGGTGTATTTTAGTTCTTTTTTTTGGTTCATTGGATACATTTTAATAAATTTGGATTTAAAATCAATCAATCAATTAATCAATTAGCCTATAAAGCGCTATTTCCGCGATGTTCAACAGCGCTCCTCAATGAATTTTGAAACAGATGGGTCTTGAGATCCGCTCTGAACTTCGCAAGTGATGGAGAAGTAGTCAGAGAAGTAGGTAGAGAGTTCCAGAGAAAAGGACCAGAAAAAGCAAAAGCAGATTTGGCAAGAGTTTAACACGAGTTAAGAAGAAGCGAGAACAAGAAGACGATCGATTCCCAAAAATTCCCTAGCGTATGAGATAATTATTTCTAAAATTATGTTTAATAATAATAAATAATAATTTATATTTAATAATAGTTCATATTTAATAATAAACTATATATTTCAAAATTAGGATAATATTTTATAAAAAAAAACTTTGATGAAAATAATTTAAAGAAACGACCAAGCATACTATGTTGGATGTATTGTATGTGTATATGTGTGTCTGTGTGCTTGGTTTATAATATATTTTATTCAACAGACTCTTGAAAAAAATTATTGTTAAACTCAAATTATATTAATATTTAATTTAAAATGTTATTAATTAAAGTTTGTAGTTCAAACCCCTATTTTATATAAGTATTGTAATAATGATAATGAAAAAGTGTAACAATAAAATAATGACACTGATTAAATTATAACTAGTATTAATAATAATTAATTAATTATAATTAATTATGGTGTTGCTGGTGATAAATTATGGCTAATAAATACATAATAATCATGATGAAGGTGATGGTGGTTTCAATCTGGGTGATCAACACATTGGTAATGGTTGTAATAAGAAAGATGTATTTATTAGTTTGATCGTTTATAACGCAAAATTTTTATGCAAAAAGTTATTTCAATACTGATGTCAAATCGTCGCAACGTCGTCGTCGTCATTATTATTGTGGCCGCCCTCATGGCCACCACCACCATCCATCGTCGTCGTCATCATCACGGCCGTCTGATTAGGGGAATTAGGCAATCGTATGGGCCAGTTTGTTTGAGGAATGGATGTTGTAGCAGCTCGTATGCAGTGGCTCTCTTCGTTTCGTCTCTTATCAGCATTCTTTCAATGAACGATTGCAGGCGTTGGGAGATCTAGAGGTGGTGAGTGGGTGAATGAGTGAGCCAGTGAGTGTTTGAATAAGTGAGTTAGTGAATAAATAGGTGAGTGAGTGAGTGATTAGGTAAACTCGAATGAGTGAGTGAGCAAGTCGGTTAATTAATGTAATCGGATCGTTATCATTAAAAGTTAATTGCTAAAACGGTTGCAATAATTTTTCAAATTTACCCGATGGTTATTTTTAGATTTGGGTGGAGCTAGATCTCTAACTTTCCTCATGGCCTGGAGTGGGGGCTCGTTGAAATACGGCGGCTCCCCATCAATCATCTCGATCAACATAATTCCCAAAGACCATATATCGGCAGGTTGATTGTAAGGCAGACGAGCTATGACTTCCGGCGCCATCCAATATGGCGTTCCTACCAATGACTTCCGCTTTGGGATGTCACGACTTACCTGAGCACAAAATCCAAAATCTGATAGTTTCACCTGAATTGATCGATTGGTTGATGGGTGATTGATTGATTAGCCGGTAGATTGAAATTAAACAAATTATTATTAGCGTAGCGATGGAGATCTTGATGAGAAGGAGGTTGAAGATGGTTGTAAAAATAATGAAGAGGATGACGAAATAAAGACGACGATGATGAAAATGATGATAAAATGATGAAAACTATGACGAAGAAGACAACGATGACGGCCAAAACTAACAATGCCTTCTCTGGACAAAAGTATGGAGTCTGACTTGATATCTCTGTGTATGATGTTGTTCTCGTGTAGGTAGGCCAGGCCCAACAACACTGACTTGCATACCGTTGCTATCTGCTGCTCATCCATTCTGAGTGAGGTGATGATGAAGAGAATGATTACGAACTACGATGATGATAATGCTGATTGTGAATATAAAATAATAATAGCATGAATGATGATGGAGAAGTGGATGTCAGTGCCATGATGGTAATGAGGATGATAATAAATGTAATTAGAGCATGATATGATAATAAACTAGAACCAAAAGATGGAGATGAGAGTGATAATACGAATTTGATAAAGATGAAACAATAAGCAAATGATAATTAAGAATTTTTTTCTTTCGATTTATTTCCAGAAGTTGCAGCGGTGATTCTCATGAACCTCATTTAGAGATAAGATTGATGATGATGATAATGTTTTGGAAAATAAATTTACGCCGATAAGACAATATGGAGGTGATGAAGAAGCTGCTAACTGTGATGATAAAATAATGAGAAATTGTGAATAAAAACGACTTTATGGTAACAATACTAATGAAAATGATGACGATGATCTTGTGATGTAATGATGATGTTTTTTGAGGTGATGATTGTGGTGTTTAAAATATATTGGCAGTGTTTATGATGAGGATGAATCGAGAGGCAGAAAAAATGACTAGAAGTAAACATATCAAAAATCTGTTCTGGTAATTAATGTTATTCGACTACACGCTTATGTATGTGCATTTGCATGTGTGTTTGTATGTGTGTGTTTGTGTGCGTGTGTCTGTGTGAAGAATCAAAGATTTCGCCATGAAAAGGCAACTTTTGTAAAGTCTTTCAGAAAGTCGTTGCCAGAAAAAATTTATTACAGCCAAAATGATAGTACAAATATATTTAAAAATATCTTAAATATCTTTAAAAATTAAAAAAATGTTTTAATCAAATTAAAGTTTAAACAGTTTTTCGAAGTTTTTTTGAATGACTCAAAAGTAATAAACAACGTTTCAAGCTATGAGGAACAGCTGGGACTGAACAAGTTTTTTTTAAATACAAAGATATTAAGACGGCAAAACTTTATTCTGAATCCAAAATTTTTCACTTTAAAAACACGCTCAACTTTATAAACTAAAGTGATCTGTAACATAAATATAACGCTTGTAAAATAGAAAACACTATACCAATATTGTCTTGACATTAAAAAACATCGGGTATAATATTTGTATGGATTTGTAAAATGTTTTGCTTGAATAGCTTAAACTTTTACAAGTATGTATGAATGTATGTTTGTGTGAATGTATGTTCGTATGTATGAGTGTGTTCGTATGTATGAGTGTGTTTGTATGAATGCAGGTCAGTATGAATGAATGTATATTTGTATTTTATACACGTTTGTTTATATACTTTGTATGTTGATCATCTTCTCAATCATCATACCACACTCATTCATTTAAAATGTTTTATTGAATTCCATCCAAATACCATCCAAGGTATATTTCGCGTATTTTGTGTATGTACACACGTGTTTGTAATTAACTGTGTGTGTGAGTGTGTATGTTGGTATGTGTGTGTGTATGTGTGTGTGTATGAGAGTGTATGTGTGTGTATATGAGAATGTATGTGTGTGTAATGATGTGTGTACATATGCATGTGTGCGCATTTCTTTGTGGTGAGTTTTTGTTTTAGAAAAAATAAGTATTATTATAAATGGATAGTAATATTGATAGCAAGAATAACAATGTTCTTAACGAAGAAAATGAGAATGATGATTAACATGGATGGCAATAATGATGATGATGATAAATCTAATGAGGATGATGATGATAATACATAATATAAGTGATGACGATGATGATGGTGTTGATAAAAAAATCCACTGACGATGATGACGACGACGATGATGATGACGATGTTGGTTATAATGGTGATGAGGAGGAGGATGACGAAAACGATGATGATGATGATGATGATAACTTTGAAGATGACGACGACGATGAAATAGGTTATTGTATGAGCTGAGTTTCTGCAGCGAGCAATAAGAGAAGAAGCTTTCTGCGAGGTTAGTCATACATACAAGTTAGAAATAACATCATATATGTATATATATATATATATATATATATATCTGTGTGTGTGTGTTTGTGTGTGTGTTTGTTTGTTTGTGTGTAATGTATGGGTGTATGTAGCGATAATATATACATACATGTAAGTTATATATAATTAGATTATTAATATCATTATCATTAATAATATCACTCTGAATGTTACTACCTATATTTAGTATTAATATTAGCTAATTAGTTAAATAGCTAATTAGTTAATTAGATAATTACAAGTTAAACGTGCAGTATTACGTCATTATTAATATGCAATTCTAACACAAGAGTGTGTATAGTGTAATTTATGTAACATCTTGTTACTATCTAAAATCTGACGATAATGCAAATGTTAGATAGTTTTGCTGTTGCAGTTGTCAAAAATAATTTTTTTGTTTTTTGCTGTGCCGTGAAATCTGCGTAGTTTAGTTTTGCTATGTCATCATTTCATCGCTATATATCTTTGATAACTATATTAGTGTTTGTGATATACATAAGATGCACATTATCATCGTCATTAATAAACACCATCATTTTTAGCGTCTTAACCACTTTCATCATTTTCGTCGTCGTCCTCGCCATCATTGTTTCCATCACCATTATTATCTTCATCATCGCCATCATCATCTTCATCATCACCATCCTGAACATACATCATCATCCTGATCATCACCAACTTGGAATGTGATGATGAGACGATGTCAGTAAGGGCACCCCCCTCCAAATATTCCATGACCACCCAGAGTTCATCCCCCACCAAGTAACTGCTGTACATGTTCACGATGTTTGGGTGATGGTAGTCCCGCATTATCAGTACCTGTGTTTTTTGTTTGTATGATTGTTTGTCTGAATGTTTGGTTTGTTTGCTGGTCGTTTTTGCATTGTGTTTGTTTTTTTGTTTGTCTACAATTTCGTACGTTTGTTTGTTTGTGTGTGTGAATATTCTACATTCTGTTTCCTTTAGCTATACAATTCTTTGATTATTCATTTATTCATCTCTCGCATACATTCACCTTACCATTCCTTTAACAAGTTACTTCAACTTATCACTCAACCAATCAATCACTCAATCATTCAATCAACAAAGCAGTCATTTCTTATCTTATATGTCACTCCAACAAACAACAGATACATCAACAATAATCATTCCTTTACATATCAACCGACCAACCAACCGACCTATTGACTGACCAACTGACCTACCGACCGATCAACCGACCAACCAACCGACCGACTGACCAAATAACCATCCAACACTCAACCAACCTCATTAAAAAGCAGCTCCTTTCTTTGCTGCTTTCTCAGGTCCATCCTCTTCACAGCGACCTTCTTCCGGTTGCGATCGAGGGCCGTGTACACAATGCCCGTGGAACCCTCGCCTATTTTGACAAGTTCAGTGAACAACTTTCTGGGGTCACCTATGCACACCACAGACTTCAACGCGTCTCGAAACTTTGGTGAAAGGAGGGTGATTATTAAATGAGTGACAGTGCTGTTTCTTCGTTTCGATTTTTTTTTCTTGAGAGAGAGAGAGAGAGAGAGAGAGAGAAAGAAAGAGAGAGAGAGAGGAGAGAGAGAGAGAAAGAAAGAAAGAGAGGGAGAAAAAGAGAGAGAGAGAGAAAGAAAGATTCATTTATTTATTATTTCTTGTTTTGTTTGTTGGTTGGGTTGTTTAAGAAAAAACTAATTACAAAGTATTTTGGCACATGGAAAAATGTTATAAATAATGAGAGACGAGAAAGATAGGAGAGAAAAAACTTTTGTTCGAATGGATGAAACCAGTTTCGAGTGCTTATGAAAGATATATATTCTTAGGCGTGTTTATCTTTTCGTGTTTTTCTCTCACTCTCTTTCTTTCTCGCTCTCTTTTTTCTCTTTCCCCCTCTCTATCTGTTTTCTTGTATGTCTTTGTTTGCTTGTGGGTTTGTCTTTGTGAATAATCACACTGACACGCAAACAAAATATTGAAAATGTTTCCTAAAATAACTCTCTCTAAATGAATTTATTAAATGCCGTTCAAGAATCTGTGTGAATGTTTTAATTAATTTCAATTAATTAAAGACGTGAACGAAATGTGAGCCAAGCTGTTGCTGGGTGGCTCGCATAAACTTTAATGAAAACATCTATAAACAAACTGTTGAGAATTTATTGCAATGTTATTTTTGTTGTAGATCGTTAACATCAGTAGCGATCTTAAACTGTTCATCTGTTTTTGCAGACTTGAAAGTTATTCGAGAAAGAAGGAGAGAGAGAAAGAGAAAGAGAGAGAGAGAGAGAAAGAGAAGCTAAAAATTTATGATGTGCTTAGCAAGAAATGAAAAAGAACAAATGCCGTTAATGTTGAATTTTTTATCAAATAAAATTTATGAGAACAAAGTTAGCGATGTAACGAAATCGATGATAAAATTAAATGAAAAATATCGAATGAATGATGAAAAAATGTGAATATCAAATCGATGACGTTGAATTTAATGAAAGCGATAAAGAAATGACGTAAAAACTCGCTAATAGAAAGTTGATAAGAAAGTTGCTCGCTAAATGTTTTCTTGAATCAAACCTTTCAAAGTTCAACCGAGGAACTAACTTCAACAGCTAATTTTTTAAAGCCAAATTTTAACATAAAAATATCCTGTTAAAATACAACTATATAATCGAATAATTCCAAATAGACGGAACAAAACTAACTTTATCATAATTCTCTCCTCCAGACACTGCTTCATTCTTTTCAGCAAGAGGTTCCAAAACGTTGCGCAAAGGTTTCTTAGCCAAATTGTCATGCTTCCTGATGACGGAAGGTGACGTCATGTAACTGGTGACGTCATTTCCAGCATCGCTGACGTAATTGCTCACTCCATTCATGTTGTTGCCCGGAGAGGACAATGTGGTGACGGAAGTAGTTATGTAGGGAATTGAGGTTGGAGAGAATTGAGATTTGGAGAGTGGAACGCCAGCAGAATATGTGGCGTATTTGGAGGAAGGCAGTGGAGTATTTGAAATAACGCTAGTCAAAGTTTTATCTAAGATGTGACTTTTTGCCCTTTTTATAAAATCTTCATTTGACAGAGGGTATATTCTGCCGCCGATGGTCACCCCGCTATCGAATGTCCTACTCAGCGATTCCAGATGTCTGCTGTATGAATTTTTTGCGTCATTCCAGAGAGGTCGATTGCTGTAGTTTCTATAATCTGTTGAGATGTTTTTGACTGGTGTGAGAGTGCTGTGACTGAGTGGCACGTATGAAATTGATGGGTATTTCTTCGGGGGGTCAAAATATTGGGAGGGCGACGATGTGGAGGAAGCCGAGTATCCGTTGTAATTGTGGGACACTGGCGAGTTGTAGGAAGAGGAAGTGGCATTTTTGATGTAGCCGTTCACTGAAGGATTGTACGCGTTTGAGTTGGTGCCGTTTGAGATTGGTGCCGACGTGGCGTGGTGGTGTCTGACGTTCGGTGAGAAAGTGACTTTTGGAGATTTGTAGTCGTCCAACGATTTGAAGTTTCGCGTGTAGTTTGTCGTGTATCCATTTGTTGTCTGCGTGTATCATTGTTGGCGACGAATCATGTATTATACGTTTGTCATGTAGTGCATTTTACAAATGTAGTATTTGAAAAACACGCTCACACATACAGACCACACTAACAAACACCAGCCCATACTTTTATTGTAGACATTTTCATTTAAATATTCATTCATCTGTCACCACTGCAACGTCGAAGCGGTGATGGCAGCGATAGCAACGACACTGCAACGCCGAATATTATAATAAAAGTACGAACAACAAACCTTATGAGGAGAAAATCTCGAAACGTCGGTATTCAACTTTCCATAATAAGCATTCTTGTTGGCGTCGATGAGGTTGTTCCATTGAATCGGTAGACCGACATAACTACCTTTTACCGAGTCGAATCCGGCGTGCACTCGGTGTTCGAAATTCTTTGGAGGTGATATGAAGGTTTTGGCGCGAGTTTTCTTCTGAAACATCTTCAATTTTTGCTGAAATAAATAATAACAAATGGTTCATTTATTTTATACAAATGAGTATAAAAATTTCTTTTCTTAGGTAAGAATGCGTGAGGTGTGAGATAAATTTAATGGCTGAACATAAAATTAAATTTATATTTTGTGAAATTGATAGATATCAAATTTTTAAATTTTAAGATCACTTTTTTTTTCTTTTAGCTTTCTCTTACTTTTTATAAAAACCAAAGATAACAAAAAATAAGATGAAACCCAACGGACAGTGTCGAACAATTATTCCATGTATTTATTAAAAATAGCGTTATAATTTATTTAGAATATTTAAAAAAAAAAACAAAAAACCGAAACAGAATAAAACGACAAAATCAAAAATACATAATAATCTCAAACAGAAACAACAACATCAAATTCATGCGGCAACAAACAACAGCAACAACAAAAACAACATCAGCGTATATATACATATATGAAGATATCGCCTTATTTTACTAACACAAAACACCGCATCTTATATTAACATAGGTCTCGATCAAACGTTTGAATCTAAGTTGTATAAGAGTGTTTAAGTATGTATGTATATGTATGTATGTATAAATGTAAGTATATATATATATATGTGTGTGTGTATGTATGTATGTAAGAGTGTGTGTGTGTGTGTGTGTGTGTGTGTGTGTGTGTGTGTGTGTGTGTGTGTGTGTAAATATAGAACTTGGATGCGTGTATGTGTTCCAGATAACGTTTTATATTCCTTTCTTCTCCATAGAGTTAGGCAAGTAAATGTATCTGCGTATTATTCCTTGTATATCTAATACAAATAATTCGAATTACACCCGCTTTTATTACATAAATACCTTAATACCTAATAAATGTCTTACGTAATGTATAAATACGTCTACGTAATATGTATGGATGTAGTCTTATGTTTTCGTCTGTACGAAGAACGTAACATGATGTGTAGAAAGTGAAATGGTTTAAATGCAAAAATACAATATAAAACATTCACCCTCTCATCTTATATAAATCATACATAAGTACCGATAAACATTTATGTAAAAACATATTCCTAAATTCTGAATACTTATTTAAATAATATATATATATATATATATATATATATATATACGTACATTTATATATATATAAATACATATGTGCACTCTTATATACATACCAATGTATAAAAATATTCTAACGCACGTACTTAAACTTTTGAATAATTTGCATGTTAATGAGGAAATCGAATGCATACATAAACACATACAAACAAATATGCCAATTATTCATACAAACGTATTATAGCAGGTACATCACGTGCAGTAAAATACTCACAAATAATACCAAACACATTACAAATACATGCAAATACAATACAAACTTAAACAATACACACACGAATGCAAAAACACGAATGCACACCTATGTGTGCACACACAATCGTACAATTTTTGCACGTACACAAGTACAAATACACGCGCGCACACACACACACACATCGGTACATATAAAAATATACATAAATACATACAAACAAATACACACACATACATACGCACACTCACAGAAACTCCTAGAAGAGCTTCATCGGCTCACTGTATATTAGTTACTTTTACAGAGCCTCAGACTTCTGCGAATGGAAAACAACCAGGTTTAAAATAATATAAATAATAATAATAACAATAACAAATAATGTGATGATAGAGATGGCAGTAGAGTAACACATTAGCAAAATTTAATCTGTGTTTGCGTTCTTTCACAAAAATAATTTATTTAAATTTATTATCCGCTACTAAAATAATCATTGTGAATTAGTTACCGATAATAATAAGCAAAAGCAAAATATGTAGTAATCAAATGATAAAAATAAATGGTTATAATAAATAAATAAATAATCGTTTTAACCGAAAATACGAAGTTGAATAAAATTGATGATCCGTTTTATATTTTTGATAAAATACATATAAATTTTATTTGTGAGGGTGCGTATGTATGTGCGTATGTGTGTGTGTGTGTGTGTGTGTGTAGATGTGTGTGTACGCGCGCGTTTGTATGCTTATTAAAGAAAAAACATAAAAAAATAAAAACCTTGATATCTTGAAACTCAATTCTTCTAACTAACTAAATGGTTAACATTAGTGACGAAAGAAGCAGAAACATAAAAAGCCGTTGCTGAAAAACCTTTATCTTTTATCTTCATATTAAAATCAAAAGAGTGCTAAATTTTCAAATACTTGGCTCAAAAGCGTTTAAAGTTTTTTCTAACCTGTCTAAAATTGCTGTCAAATAATTTCATGCATTTAATGCTTGTTAATGCTTATCACAAAATCATCAAAATGCGTGAATAGCACTGGATCATAGCACTGGAGCGTGCGTGTGTGTGTTTATACTTATATTATTGCATATTTATTTGATTTGAACAGTGGTGTAAGTGTAGATAAGTGGTTTATCGTCGTGAAATTGTCAAGTCACTGCTGCTCCTAATTGTTTTCTGATTATAAATTTTTAATTTAAACTTTTCAAATGTATAATTATTTAGTTAATTGAATATTTATGGAAATGATGATTAGATGAAAAATATTGGCCCGAAAGATTATTTTTATACTTTTTTAATTTTAAACTTAAAACATCATAAAATAGAAAATAATTTTGACAAAAGTCTTTGTGTTGAACATATTCGAAATGATCATCATTTCAGCGTTCATTTCACTTCCTTGGATTATTGGCTTACTTACGAAATTGCATAGGTTTAAACAAGCAAGCTATATGAACCATTTATTTGACTTTATTATGCTAAAAACAATGATATAAGTCACTGATCAATGCTGCCGTAATCCAACGTTTGATTTCCAAGAACCATTTTCCAGGAGCATTAGAATCTAAAACATTTATTGAACATGACAAAAATAGATGTTAAAATAACAATTTTGATGTATTTACGCCGTTTGTTTCATAAAAACCAATAAAAGCTTAAGATCGAATAAGTAAAATAATGAGTGACTATAGCTCAATCCTAGTAAGTCAACCTATGGTTTCAGTAAGCTACTGTTTTTCACAAACCGGACAAAAAGCACTTTTTATAATCAAATTAACAAAAATATTTTTAAAACACATAATTCGATTTAAACATATATATTTAAGTCAATATATATATATATTCATTTTCATGTTTGTAAATGTCTTGAGAGAGTCAAACAGCAGAGCACTTGTTTGCCTCACGTGACGTGATATTTTTTTGAATTTAAAAAAATTGTAGAATTCCTAATTAACGTTAATAACTTTTAGACTGGGAGAGAGAAGAAATGAGAGATCCCATCGAATACATCGAAATAATTCCAGGTTCGTTTTGTTCTTCATTTATTTTTATTAATTCATTTTTACATCCATTCGCCTCTGTTATTTGGCTACTGGTGTTTGTTTACTACTTTCGTTTTGTTTGTATTTGTACTGTCTGATGAACTCTCAATTGCAACGACCAAGGCAGATAATGTCTGATCTGATTACCAACTGTTTTTATTTTATTTATTTACTTATTCAAAATTCCTGCTGCATGTTGGATCATTCATATTGAAGTCTTAAGTGACTTAAGTGGTTTGAAATTAATTTATAAAACCACTTGCTTCTCAAGTTACTGAGTTTTCTTAATTAAAGTAATTAACTAACTAATTAATTTTATTTTTAATATTAATATATTTTCCCCTATATACTCAAACACACACACACATACAGGAAGGTTGTACTTTTACATAATTAAGGATCCAGAATGGACTCCGCTGAAAAATACGGAGGAGTATCATTTCTTCTGCACTGATTTCGTCTTCAAATATGTCAAGTTAGAGAAGCTACTATTAGTATGATAAATTTTGGTGAAATTTTTGGATTTTATACTGAGAATTATATTATTAAATTTCAATAACATTTCTAATAATAATATAAATTTATGTTTTGAGTGATGATTAAGATTCATTTCTAGTTAGTTTTAATATGTTGTATTTTGTATGTATGTATGTTGTGTTTGTATATCAAAACACCAACCAGAAGCCCATTATGTGAATAAAAGAATGCATTAAACACATTCACATGTTTTTATAAATCTAAACCCTGATTAGTTTTATTAGAATTTTTTTGTAAATTTTTTCCAATTAATCAACTAATTATTTTATACCAAGCCTAATTAACAATTGATTAAACAATTAAGTAAATAATTGATTAATTGAATAATTAACTAATTAATTAATTATATTTTCCCATTAGCTTCCATGAAGACTTTGGACCCCTTAACCTAGCATGCATCTATAAATACTCCATCCTGTTGGATAGGAAGCAGAAAGTATGCTATGGAAAGTTTTCCATTTTCACATTTAATTATTCTTATAAATTAATTTAAATTTTTAATAGCAGTAAATAAATTTTAATAAATAAATAAGTAAATTAACAAATTAATTATTAATATTTATCAATAGAGAATAATTGATACTAATAAATAAAATAGTCTGACTGTATCCATATTAACTAAAGGTTATGGAATGCTCTACCAAATGATATATTATGATATATCAATCATATATTAACTAAAGGTTATGGAATGCTCTACCAAATGATATATTATGATATATCATATGACATAACATGATATGATATATGATATGATTTGATATGATAAGATGATATAATACATGGTACATCGTTTGATATATAATTATGATATATTTCGGTTTCATATTTTAAATAAATAAACATTTATATTTACTAGTAGATTAATAATAATAAATAAATAGATAAATAGATTTTTATTTTCTTCTATCGAAATTTCAAGATGAAGTCGATGTGTCGAAAGAAGATCGTACACTACACTGTTTGCAATGTGCCCAACGATGCTACCCACTATAAAATAAATGCTGCATTTCTCATCGGGACCTATATGGTCAGTAATTAATTGCTGCTATTTGGGTCATTTATTATTTTTATTCATTTATTTGTTTATTTATTTGTTATATATATATATAAATACACACATATATATATATATATGTGTGTGTTTATATTTTTATTATATGGTTATGTTGATAACAATATTAAAAGTAAATACATGCACAATGCACATACATGCACACACACACATATGTTGATATATATATATACACAGACATTCAAATATGGATTATTATTTAATTATTAATAATTATTCTTTACATATTTATATTCATTTGTTTTTGATAATAATAGTAATAATAATAATTATTATTATAAATAAATAAATATGTAGATATCTCATCTAAAGAAAAATGCCCAAGAAGTGTATAACATGTTAAGCAACGATGGACTAGAGGATTACGAATACTTTAGGTTTAATAATATTTTTTACCTAATTATTTTTGGATTTATTATGAAAAATAATTATTATTATTATGATATTTATTATTATTTCAAAATTAGGATATTTTTATTTAGTTTTTTTTTATCTTTACTCAGGGATGCATCAGCTGGCCTGTGCAAATATCAACTGTCACTCCTAGACTGTCTTGAGGGGTTCGAGAAAGTTGGTTGATTGATTGATTAATACTTGATTGATTGATTGGTTGGTTGGCTGGCAGGCTTGTTGGTTGATTGATTGATTGATTGATTGATTGATTGATTGATTGATTGATTGATTGATTGATTGATTGATTGATTGATTGATTGATTGATTGATTGATTGATTGATTGATTGATTGATTGATTGATTGATTGATTGATTGATTGATTGATTGATTGATTGATTGATTGATTGATTGATTGATTGATTGATTGATTGATTGATTGATTGATTGATTGATTGATTGATTGATTGATTGATTGATTGATTGATTGATTGATTGATTGATTGATTGATTGATTGATTGATTGATTGATTGATTGATTGATTGATTGATTGATTGATTGATTGATTGATTGATTGATTGATTGATTGATTGATTGATTGATTGATTGATTGATTGATTGATTGATTGATTGATTGATTGATTGATTGATTGAATCATTCATTCATTCATTCATTAAAC